TGATGATTTTTAAGCCATTCTATGTATGATTTAGAGACTGGCTATGGGCATGGTATACACCTGTCAGTGAAATAGAAGGAGTTATGAAATAGTAAAACTGCATATAAAGAACAGACTATTTCAGTGACCTCATCTTTGGTAGGCAAACAATAAAATCCTGTAACTTAAGGGTCTCAAGGGTTAAAATGGGTATTATTTCACTTATGCACCAAAGTTCAAACTCAATGAGGTGGAATTAAACTAATAGGACTATGGAAAGATTGAGTCCATGATATTAAAAAAAAAAACTAGTCACCAGCAATGACTGTCAGACTCTGTCTCATCCCTTCTCAGCTGCTGGTTTAGAAGACGTTCAGCCTACAGTCCCCGGGCCTGTCTTAAATAAGCTTAGCAATGAATTCAGTAGCTTGTTCTCTCTGGTGGGGTCTCAAATTACATTTCGTTCCAGGCTGAGTATCTAATAGTCCCAAGTGAACCTCTGGGTACTTGTTCACAAATACCTTTCTTCTGCAGCTTTCTTCACAAATACCTAAGATATTTACAGATATTAAACCTTTCTTTCCTGATTTACTTCTTCAGCTCTCCCCTGAAGCCCAGCCTGCTCACCAGATGCTGTCAAGGGCTTCTCCAGGTATCTCACCAAAGAACCAGACTTTGTCCCTACCTGTAGCTACTGCTTGAGGGTACCATTTCAAACCAGACGGACCTTCTGTTTACCTACTAGATAAACAATTCTATTATTTTCCTGTCTATGAATATCACTACTTCCTAAGATACCTACTGGTATTTCTTACCTTTGAAAGCCACCACCACCGAGATCAGACCTTTGGACTACCTTCCTTCGTGTAGAAACCTGACTATAGCTGGAAAGTCAAACATCTCAACACAACCATCTGCCACTGTGTGGTTCACCTGAGTAGACCTGTAAGTGTTGAGGAAAACACAAATGGTTGTGTGTACGTGTGTGAGAGGGAGTATTCATTGCCGGAGTTCATAAAAGGGTCTGTAGGACACAAGTGTAATAGTTAGAGAAGGTCATTGATGGGGAGAGACTTAGGGGTCGTAGGGTTTAGGGACAAGAAGGAAAGAAGCGGCCCATAGGGAACAAGTGTCAGTATTACTTCATAGGAGCCCCGTTGAATGAACAGGGAGCTGGGAGATGGGGAGGCAGAGAGGGAGAGTCCCTGAGAGTGGAAGAGGTGAGGGAGACGGTCTGTCGCCTCGGGAAGTCGGAGCTGTGAGTCAGAGCCATTGTCTCAGCACCCGTCCTGGCCGCCAAGCTTCTCTGTCGCACGACACTCACCTGTCCTCAAATTGTGTCTGCAACTAGATTCGGGCACAAACGACACGATCGTGTGCTTTGAACATTCATCTTTGATTTCCAGGTTTTAGTCATGCTCAAGGTTTCTATTTCATTAGTGGAAAAATATGAGAGCCCTCCAGTGGCCAAAAATAAAACCTATAAATTTATAACATCTCTCTAAGTAAAGCCTGTTTAGCCTGTGGAGAAAAAAAAAAGTTGTCTCCATATTTCAAAGGCAGAGAATTCAGTGTCAGATGGCGTAGCCAGACAGAGGCATGGCGCCGGAAGTACAATCGGAGAGAAATATTAGAAGCCCCAGGAAAACAAGCCTCCTGGTACATTTCCTTAAATGGGGATGTGCTGGGTACATTTAAGGAGTGACAAAGAAGAGTCAGTGTTCCTTATGGTCAAGTTAAAGAACTCGTGTATGGAGGATCTTGGACTCCTCTCTTCCAAGATGTAAATCTGTAGCCAGAAGGCACTGTTCCTAAATTCCTTATAAGGATTTATATAGATATATGGCTGGACTGTTTTGTTTTCTTTGCTTTTCCCTGCCTCTGGCTTATCTATGCCCTACAATTCCTCTTACCCCTGCCGAGGGAGGGGATCAGTAGTGCAGATAATTGAAAGGTTGTGTGCCAACAAATGGCTTTGTGCTGGCTGCCAGGAACTCCCCGGCACCGCATGGTTAAGGAAGAGTCAGGCAATGGCAGGGTTCTCGTCGCATGGCAACCCGGTCAAATAGTAAGAGCTGTTATTTATCGAACCCTCACTATGTGCCAGATTAAGTAGTTTACATCCAGGTATCTCGTCTTACCCTCACCTACACCCCAATGAAACTGGTACCTTTTCCCTCTCTCACGGATGAGGAAATTGAGTCTCGGTGGGTCAGGTAACTTCCAATGGTCACCCTACTCACTGAAGTGGTAAAGCCATTTTCTAAACCAAGTTGTTTAGTAAAGCAAAGTCCACACGCGCTCATCCATTTTGCCCGCCTGCCTCCAAATGCCACAGCGGATCAACTCAGGCTTGGGGGGGAATGCTCTGCACGTGGGAGATTTGGGAAGCAGATTCAGAGCATTGCGTCTGCTCTGAGCCTCCACAAAGGAGGATTTCCAAGCTAGACTTCTTATTCACAATCCTTTTGGGGATTGAATGACTCCTAAAATCTTAATTTCATCTCTAGATGAGGGAAGGGCTTGAAGTTTCACATGCAATGGGTACACGTTAACCTTCATTTTACTGAGGTTCTCTGTAGCATTTGACTTCCTAACAACTCCCTTCTTGAGTATCTTTCTTTTCTCAGCTTTGGGCCCTCATCCAGTCCTGTTTCTATCTTTACAACTACTGCCAATTTCTTTCATAACAGTCCCTTCCTCGACCCATGCCTTAAATACTGGTGTTTTCCATGGTGCTGCTCTTTGCCCTCTTCCTGGCTTGTTTTAGGTGTTCTTGACCCAACTTCAACCAGGACCCAGATGCCGAGAGTCGGCCTGTTTTAATATTCACCTCTGACCTCCTGCCCCAGCCCCATACCTCCAACTGCCAACAGGTTATTTCCATTTGAATATCAGATGGGCACCTCAAACTCATCAATTTTGAGTGTATTCTTGAGATTGGCAAGAAAATTGTATTACTACCTAGCAAAGTGCCTTTCTATGTGATATACATTACTGTTAATATCATTATCAATAAGCAGTTAAGTAATGGATGAATAAAGGGGCACAGTTCAAGCTTCTTCGCCAGGAGTATAGCGATTACCTTACCCTCGTTTTACATCAACCTTCATTGTTTTTACCTTCAGTTCCCTGCATTTGGACCCCACTCTCATCTACCCTCAGATAGTCTACGTTCATTTCTTAGTTTTCCACACCAAACTGTAGACAAGATTTTGATTCTGTGCTTCTCGTTCTCTGCATATTGTTTTCTTCATTTTCTCTTAATCTTTTGCACTTCTGCTCTTCTTACAAAATTCATTCCATGTGTTTTCCAGGAAAAGTTAGTAGGACTTTATCTGGGATCCTATAGTACCTCGTACACATTGGTAATATGGAATTTGCATTTAATTAATTAATTATCGTAAGGAATGCTTCATGAACTTGGGTGTCATCCTTCAGCAGGGGCCTTGCGACTCTCTGTGCCGTCCCAAGCAAGCACTGGAATTGGTATTTTAATGCAAAAATTGATCAGACTGTCTGTTCTCTTCACTATGACCCATGTGAAGAACTGAGACTGATGCTTCTTTTTGCTTTTATTATCAGAGTTCCTTTGCACACAGAAGAATAAGTGATGCATAGGCTATATCTTTGGCAGCTTCTGGTACAGACCATGTTTAGAGCAGTCAGAATACATGAATTCCATCTCACCCAGTTGCCCAACCAGGAAGGGGAAGGTGCTTCTGAGACTGACTCCACTTCTGTAATTGTACCGCATTAAGTGTAAACTAGAAAAGGGAATTTCGTAAGCAGACCCTAAGAAGAGGGCTAGAGAGACCTGGAGGGAACAGGAAATCGTAAGGGCGAAGAATGAAGATTTAAATGAGATAGAACTGGAAGAAAAGAGTAGCATCTCCTCTTTCTCGCTAATCCAAACCCTTCTTCACCGTGGTCCGGGGCAGCATTGTTCTGTGAGCACCCTCCCCGTGCGCCCAGTCTCCACTCTGCCAAACTTGAAGATTTTCCCACATTACCCATCTTAGCCTCCACTGACGTTGTGTGCTTTTAGTTGCAAACACACATACTTGAGTCCCCTCGGGCGCAAAGGAGCGCCAGCGGAGCAGCAATAGCGGGCAGCTGAAGGAGCGTCAGAGTCAACTACTGGGAGAGTGGGAATTTGAACAGAGCTGGTGCACAGGGAAACTGGACCCAGGGATAAATCTGGATTCAGGCATTCTCATAGACATCAGCCGCACAGGTTCGAGGATTTTCACTACGGTGTTCCACTCCTTTATTTTTGTACCAATAACTGACTTTTTGAACATTCACTGCACACTTGGTCTCAAAAGTTCTACTTAAACATATTTTCTGATGTCTCAATTTGCTCCTAATTTCTGCCTTCCTAACTGGACTGGCCATGTTCCTTTGTGGAACAAGTAGTCACTGTCCCCAGTTTCTATACTTTCCTTACAGACAGTGGTTTTTAACCCTATCAGACTAATCAGCCCATTTTTACACTGAATGCTGTACAATGACCCCTTTCCTCTCTTGATATTTGTAAGCGCACCTTAGTTTTACAAATACTCCAAAAAGAATCAATAATGCCCTGAGTATAACATAAAGGAGAAAATAAAAGTGACTCAGAACACAATAATTTACATTGTTCATTTAAGCTAAATTAATTCATTTAAAATAATGTACAATTCGATACATACATGCTCAAGCTGGGAAATGAAATCTAGTAGTAAGGTGACTGGATGTGAACATGAACCAGCATGAAGGGGACAGTTACAAATGGGAACTGACAGTGTCTCTACTGATGACTCCAATGCCCTGAGCACCATTGTTGTAGGTGATGTGTTTCTTTTCCTCAGATGGTAAACAACTCTGAGTAAAGATACAAATATAATAAAATACAATTTTTCCTTGCTTGAACCAGAAAAACGAATCTAGAAAATTCAGTGTATATTAAAATTGCATTTTTATATGGAAAATGGGGTTATGTTCCAGACGTAAAGTTACAAAAAAATGTTTCCACCTACCTGAAGGCCCTTTTAGGATTTTCAAAAGTTGTGCAGAATACAAGATGACTCTTTTTTGTGCAAGGCTGTTCTAGACATTGCAGTGCATTCAAACTCCTTCGACCCTTCAGTTAAAAGACAAGAGCAACTTCCAGTCATTGTGTCAAACAAAAACACCAGTGCACGTTTCTAAAATTCTACCTAGACTGTGAGTTGAAAACTACTGTTCCATTTGAATAGAATTCCTGATTTCTATCTAGATACCCAGATGCTCAGAATATTCTAGATTAGGTTTTTTACTCTCCATCATGGCTAAGTGTGGTCATGTAGTAGTTCTGACCAAAGGATGTGAACACAACTATTTTTCTCTAAAAGGAAAATGTGCACCCTTTCCTCCTTTTCCCCTGTCCCACTGGGTTGGTAAAAACGTAGTGGGAGATATTTTTTACCCCGTAGTGAGGGTGTCACATTAGTGATGGAAAGTAGGAAGACAAAGGGCCTTGGCCCCTGATACTGTGGGGTTGCCTTGCCTATGGTATCAGGCCCCCTGAAGCCCCGCCTCACATCTCTTTATCTGTGACTTTGGCTGCAGCTGCTGTGGAAAGTTCCAGAAGAGCTGTGACTCACTCCACTCTGACAGCCGCTTGGCTTCTCCTGTGATCTGAACTCCAGAAGGAAGGTGCTCAGTCAGTACACATGCACAGCTGCGAAGTGCAAGGGTGTTCGTATCCTCGGGGAAAATTGCCAACCAATTGGGAATGGGACACATTGGATAAATTTTCCTGCTTCCCCCTTTGGGGCAGACAATTCTGGGAAACATTCTGAAGGATTCTCATAAGGTCCTGCAGAACCGGGTCCCTAGAGCCCTTAGCTTATCAATGGCTGTGGATGCATTAGAGAAAGAAACAACCAATTCAAGGTACACAGGCCTCCAGGACAATGATTAAAACAGGAGGCCTATAACAATGACTAAAGCAACCCCATCTCCTGGGCCCACAGGTCAGAGAGTGCTCAAAGTCACCATCAGAACTTCACCGTAAGGGATACAGAGGACACAGGGTGTGCACACGTAACAAGTCTCCTGTCAGAGGCAGGCGCTGATAGGAAACAAGTGGGACGCTCAGACCTGAGTGAGAGCATTTGGATGAATGAGTCCAAGAATCTCAAATGCCTATGTTCCCTTGAACCCTCCAGCAGAAGTGCGCCGGCCCTACCTGAAGACCAGGTCTCTTTGTCAAGGGATCATGCAAATATATTAACTGAGGCAAATGTTTCAAGAGATGATGCTTTTCATCTTTAAAACCTACCCCTACATATTCTTGGTCACCTCCACACCCAAAACTAGGATCAGAGCTTCCTGTGCCCCAAGAGTAGAAGTATTGTCTATGTTGCTGGAGGAGACAGCATACTCAACCAAAAGAATTTTAGTACTTGGTTAGTAAGTAAAAGCAGACAGAGTCAGTCTTGAAGGAGCTGGGCTTGGGGAGAGGGGCATACAGGCCACACAAACCCTGTAGTTATTTCCCAAATGCATCATTGAAATGCACATACACAGTAGTTAGCGGAATGCTCATCCTGGCTTTCTGACCTGTGGAGTTTAGAGGCCACTGCAGTAAAATGAGCCAATGGAAACTCCTGAAACAGCCCCTGCAAACCTCACCTTGCCATTCATAAAACAGAACTAGTATTTCATCCTGGAAAGAACTGTAAACATTGGTGCCACTCTCAAAGACCTAAAGGTTGCAGAGAGGGGTCCTCATCATATCTGCATTTAGTCCCATTGCAGGGTCCTTGCAAAAACCAGAGGAATCACAACCAGAGGTAAGTAACTATGAATCACCAGAAGCTTGACCAACTGGTGGTGGCCCCAACAGAAACCGCTAGGCTGAAGGCGGTACCTTTCCCGCCAGCTGGCACTTGGTGTGCCCCTGTTAATCTGGCAACCATGTTCTTGCTACCAGAAGCTGTTCCCATTTTCAATAGACAATAGCTGTACATCTCCATTGTTTTCTCCAAACACTAGGTTCATCTCTTACTCTCTGCATATATAACATGCAGTGACCCTAGTCCTCTTGACCTTCCTCAGAACATCGCGCTAGTCCACCGTACTGCTACCCAGTGACGACAGTCATTGGACCTGGTGGACAGAAAGTGGCAAATCCTCTGGGTACGCTAGTATCCACCTATGTATGTGCCAAACATATACATGCCAGGAGGGTGGGACCCACGTCCCCAAAGGTTTCAAGGATGAGCCACGTCAGTAAAGTTTTTGAGGATCTAAAAGCCTGGGGTATAAATGGGCATCCCTTCTAAGTACTTTGGGCCTTTTTGGATTTGGGAGGTAGCCTACGCCATGCCAGGGAATATTGCTTTGACCTAATTATTGAGTGGCTCACGAGGCTGTCAGTTTTGAGTGAGACCGCCCACATCCTCAGGGTTCTAGAGCAGGGCCGTGCCTTCTGTAGCCAAGAATTGCCCTTCATATGCTCAATCACAATGGCTAATGAACAATTTCAGCAACCATGATCTAAAAGGGCAAGATAATTGTGAACTCAGACTACTCAGACATGAAGGCCTCAGTCACCCCACCAAGCAAGGAACCTGTATCAACCCAAGTGTCAGCCAAGAACAAGGGAAGCCTAGAGTGTGCAGGGAAAGGAAGTTCTTTTGAATGTTCATTCCAGTCTCCAGAGCAGTAATCCCATTGGACCAGTAATGAGATTATAGTGTGTTTCACTAACTTCGGTTTATTAAAACTCTTGCAGAGGGTGCAGCCAGGCACTTACCTGGAAGACTCTTTGACAGATGGGACATTATGTAGGCATGAACAGGTCCAGACAATGTGAGGGGTGGACAGTGTCTGATGCCTCTGTGCCTGAGTCCACATCATGTCAGCATACATGGGATTCCTGCCATACAGCTGTCGGTGGGCACTTCCATATAGGCTGCAACTGACTTCATGCCGACAGTGCTTACCTTCATGAATGCTCCATATGTCTTCAGTTTCTTCTAGAGTTTCCCAGCACCTAGGACAGTGGCAGGGACTTGCTTGAGCCGCATGCATTCTCCTCTAAGAAGCTGGAGAGTTAACACCTGTAGGGTGATCCTGTAATGAGAAGGAATGGACCCTGGTGGCTACACGATCCCACCTTCCATTTTCAGCTAGACAATTCTGGAAGGCATTATGTGAGTATCTCAGATGGTGCCAGTGAAATCAAGGCCTGATTGCTCACCATGATGACCTTAATAATGTGTCCTTACAATGGCTTGTCTCCTTCCATGCATCACTTTGCCTGCCCCTCACTTTTTCTCTGATATCATAGCCTAAGTAAATGACCTAAAAGGAAATTTTTGTCATGGGTATGTATTTGGGAGAACATAGGTTGAAATACCAGCCCTGGATTGCTAACATGGTCTGACATGAAAGAAATCAACATTTATTTATGCCATCATCATTTTGACCAAAATACATCCAACGTCTATGCTTCTACTCTAATATGACTAACATTCTAATAAGACTCTTATTCTACTTATTTCTGTCTTGGTGTGCCTTTTCAGTTTTCATTTCTGCATCCAAGTGTTCTCTTTCAGCACTTTTTGGTGTAAGTTCCAGAGAGAATGACTTTGATTTATCTCATCCTTCCTCACATCAGGTCAGTCCGTAACCTGGATATTCATTGTCTCATCTCATGGAGAAGGTACAGCATTGGGTGAACTAACTACTCCCAGAAAGTGGGGGGGGGGACATAGGGTAACAGACACAAAGCTATTCCTTCATGTAAGCGTGTGCAAAGGACAGTTGGTCCTGGAAGGGGCTGTGAACCTGGCCAGCCTCCTGACTGACGGAGATAACATCGTCCTCCAAGACTCCGAACATTCCCCAGGCATCTCTTATTTCCACCCCTTCATCTTTGTTTCTGCTATCATGGAAACACTCCATATTTATTAAGTTTTGTTATTTAACACAGTCTTCTCTAATCACCTCCATTCATCCAGCTTCACCCCATTTTTATTCAGCACTCAGAATTTTGTCCTATTAAGCTTTCCATTTTGCTCGTTATGATCCCCTGTTCATGTATCAACTGTAGATTTCTTGCCCATATATCAACTCTAAACCACTAAGCCTACTATTTAAAGACACCCATAAACTATCTGCTGGGACACAAATTTCTTTAGGGCAAAGCTGTGTCTTCTGTTTCTATGAAGACCTCCTACTGTCTCTGCAGGGACCTGGGCAAACAAGAAGTGGTCAGTGGATGTTTGTCAAATTTAATAGATGCTTCTGAACCTTTTATTTGTCATATTCATACTTGAGGAATTCTCCAACCTAAGAAAACAAATGTTTTCCAAGTGAGAAATTAATGTAAGCAACTTAAGAAGGGTATCCAGTATTTTTTTTTTAAAAAAGATTATTAAGTGATATCAGTGGAATCAGATGGGGAAAGAAATAGACCCTGTGTTTGATATGCTCTATCCAAAGAAAAGGTAACTTTAGAGTGATTCTGATTTTTACCCAACTAAAAGACCAATGCACACTGTTACCTGGTCAATTTCATTAATTCCTTTGTAATTAATCACTAACATGAACAAAAAGAGTCCATGGACATTGGTCCACATGAAAGACACAATATTCCTGGAAAAAAAAGAAAGATAATTTAATTAAACACCATTAACAGACTTTTACTGTAGCTTCTTGTAATATTTTTAAATGTTTCTATTTTAATAACAAAAATTGTAAAACAAGTGACTTTCTCTATATGTGATTAAAGTCTGCATTTTGCTGTAGTTCAGTACTGCTAAGGGCAACACGTTTTAGCCATTAGACTCCTGTAATAATGATCAGCACACTTTGACTTGTCATCAGGTCAGGTAGGAAACTCGTTCCAAGCAGCCAATGAGGCTTCTGGTTGCCCTTCAAACTTTTTAGGGACGTGCACTCCTTCAGATTCTGTCAAAGGCTGTGGAGTGTCTCCCCAGGGAAAGAAAAACTTTATGCATAATATATCGTCTGCAGTTCTTGGAAGCGAGGGGGTCATGGACACCTGGAAACACACCCATTGAGCCGCGAGGGTTCTTGGATTTCAAAGTGCTGCCTCTAGTGAGGTTGAAAATTGCATCGTGCTCACAGGGAACATGGTTGTGCATTCCTTCAACCACCATAATGCTCTTTCATGTGTCAGATACTGTGTTAAGTCTTGAGGATATGGATAAATAAAAAAATGTTCTTTCCTCCAAGGGATTTACCAAGGGATTTAGAGTGACTAACACGAAAAGAAGGGCAATGAGATGCAACCCAAGAGCAACCCATTGGGCAATAGTAAAAGGTGGGACATGGACTCAGATGCGCTGCAGTTGAATCCCTGGGCCTTTGAAAACTAATATGACTTTGTGCAAGCGATTTAAGTGTCTGTGCTCCACTTTCTTTATATACTGCAGGTGATCACATATGCAATGGAAAGGGTTTTGTGAGGATTGAATGACTTGGCATATGTAAATCATTTAGAACAGTGCCTGGCCCATAGTATGGACTCAATAAACCAAGATGATCAAATTAAGAGTATAAGTTATGATGATTATACTCATTGGAGGAGAATGCATTCAGCTGGAAAAGCCCCCCTATGTGACTGGAAGGGAGGGCAAGGTGAATCTGGGGGAGGAGTGGGAATGGAGAAAGGAGCAGCTCCCTCAGATCCTTATCCTTAGGGTCTGCCCTGTGGGGTCTACAGAAGCTCCATCTTCTGACATTCTCCAGAGGACAGCTGTGTGATGATTTTCTCTAGGAAGCATCCATCACTCTAATAAATGTTTGTAGCTCGTGTTGCTGCACAAGGTCACGTGGGGGGGGGGGTGCCCACAGAAGGAGAAGCAACCTTCTAATTCTTGCATGGTTTATTCCTCTGCACGCCAGATGGATGTCCAAATGAAAATTAATTTATTTGATTCGTCCATGGAAGCACACATTCCTTTAAGAAGACAAAAATTATCTTGGACGGTCGGTAGAGCAGATTCTTTTTCTAAAGGCATGGAGCCACTATTTGCAATATAATAAGAAAGTCATCAGAATTATTGCCATGAAATGGTAGACAAATACCAACTATTTTCTGTTTACCTGTCTCTCTGATCTGTGCATTTTAAGAAAATAGATCCATGTCCTGTAGTTACATTAACAAACTTACAATTTTCATAGAAATATTAAGCATCATTTTTTTGACCTCATAGTTCCAATATAGGCTCCAATTCTTGGAGTGACATTTTTTGAATGTTCTACCTAAAGCCAAACTAAAAATTTCAGCCATGATTCTTGCTCCTTTATCCTAAATCTTTGTTTTGAGAATTGAGGGAAATGATGTAAGAAAATCACCTGTCACAGTGTTTTATTTTATAGGTGCCTCATTAATAATAAAACCAATAATAATATGTTGTTATTATTATTGTTACTATTTGTGTTATTATTCTCATGATATGTTTAATATGGCAACAATAGATTTTTTAGTACACACACCAGAAATGTTTGCAGATACAGTGGAAGGATGTGTTAGACTTGACTCCCAGACGGAGGGGACAACGGGTATATTTTCATAGCCAGTGGGGAAAACTCATTCACTTGAAAATTCGCCCTCACTTTTTGCATCATATTTGAAATTCCATAATCAGAATTTCAGACTTTGTCTATTTAATATCACAAATAGCTTCCTCTAGCTCTGTTATTGAAGACTAGCAATTTTAGATGTGTCAGCCTTTTTCACCTAAAGATGAAAAATACCAGAGATTCCATCAGGTTTGTAGGAATAGAGACTGAAGACACAGGGTGTCTGGTGCAATGGAAGTTGGGAATTCAGACCACACTGATTCAGGGAAAGGGCTCAGGCTAAGGTCTTCCACCCTGTTACTCCCCAGGCTTCGGGTCTCAAGCCTCTTCTTCTGTCCACCACTCTGTCCCTGCATTCCTGGTGATCTCATTCACTTCAGGGTTGACATGTGCCCTTGGAGGAGCCCAAGCCTTCCCAACCAGGTTACTGTTCTGAGAAGCTGGCTGCTCTGTGCAAATGCCCACAAGATCTCTCGTTGGAACAGTCTTCCCAGATCCTCTTGGGGAACGCTGGCATCCCCTCATGGGCCTCGTTACATATTGCCCATCTCTACCATAACAGTCCCGGTGACGAGCCACAGGACCCTCTTTACTGGCCTGACTTCCCCAGGGGACTGGGAGGGCCTCAGCTGCAGGAGCTCGTCCCTCATTCATGCATTCATTCTCACATGCATAGTCACGCAACAAATGTGCTATTCCCATTTAGATCCCAGGGTACAGAACGTGGCTGGCCAGAGAAGGTCGCCAGTGAATGTTTGCAGAGTGAATGAACAAATAAACGTGGAAATAAACGAATAGATGAAGGAGCAAAGTAAAATGGCTGCAGCTCTACAGACGAAATGTCTACTTTACAAGTAGACCCAGGCTGGAACTGGCTGATCATCAGAAGCTGCCTTCAGAGGCACACGTATAACTGCCTCTCTTCCGGAACACTGTGTAGCAGGACTCAGGAAAAGGCAGTGTGATGAGAGTGAGACGAAGCTGTTTGATAACATCAGTCTCCAATCCCCATTCCTCCTGGGGGACTAGATGATGGATGTCAGCCTGCCAGGAATCTATCGAAATTCTTGGAGCACCTGTCCTCAGCTCTTCTCTCCTGTCTCTGAGAAGAAGTGAGGAAATGCATTTCAACCTTCACTTTATTTCAGCAGCTCCAGAAACCAGCTTGATTTCTTGGGATTTCCCACTATGAGGTTGTTCTGTTGTACTTCCTTTGACCCCTTGAGTGTCTGGAACGGGGCTGGAATGTTGTTTCATTAGACTGCTAACGTGTCCATAGATGGTCTAGAGAGAGGGAAATATATGTTGGGGATTTTTAAAAATAAGTGTTGCAGGGCAGAACAAGTATTTTTCATTTTTGAAGCCAACCTCTGAAAATAAACGTGCAGACCAAAAAAATGGCGAAGTGGTCTGACACTGGGTCTGTTAGAGGCAAAAGCAAAGAGGAACCCCGATTTTTCAAAAAAAAAAGTTACATTCTTTAGGCATACTTGTGTTCCGGGATAGAGGACAATTATTGTTACAGCTAAAAGGAAACAGTATCTATTTCAACTTCTACAGGCTGCAGACGTTGAAGTTGAGTCCTGGAGATTTGAAGGGACTTGTTCAAGATTATTCATCTATGTGATTTTACAACCTACAGTAGAACCGGCTTGGTGGATTCCTTCCCCATTGTCTCCTTCCTTTATTTTGTTTTGTGTTGAGCTATACCACATGGTATTCAGAAAATGTATTGTGTTCTGACATATAGAGAACTCATAAATTTGTTCAGTATTCAACACGGCTTACTGAGCATGACGTTTAAGATGTTATGCTCAACGTCGCGGCACAGTCTTCATGAAGCATGGTCTACTCCCTGAAAGGGTAACATGTGAGTCTCAGAAATTATCTGAGGTGTAGAATCAATGCAGTAATGGAGTCTGACTGTGCTGCCAGTTATCATTTTGGTAACCATCCTTACAAGCATCCCAAGAATCTCCTTTCCGGGGGGCAAGCAGGATGCACACTGGTTCACCAATCTTGCATTTGCCATTCCTGAGAGCGGTCATTCCATATTTCTCCAGGGGTCTCTCGTGTCACTCACCCAAATCCCAAATGAAATCCCTCGTGACCATTATTGCTTAGTGGAAGGAGCTGTGCTCACAGTAACTAGGAATTCTCCTATGTATCCTCAGCAAGGACCTGAGCTATCAGGACGGTCAAAGCTCAGCTTAAAAGCTGAAAACTGGCCTGAGGGTGTACCTTTTGACCTATCTAATGTTGACCCATACAGTGTTTTAAATCTGAATTAGTTGCTACCATACAAATACTGGGAAATTGTACCTCCCAATCTGAGATTTCAGATTCCACAGAAAAACTGGACACACTGCCCACCCTGGGTCTACCCTTCCCCATGGCAATAACTGCTAGGACGTTAGGAGCCACCAGTTCTCCCGAGGGAGCACGCACTTTCTAGCTTGCCACACTCCCCATCCCTTGATACCACTTGGATAAAGCAGAGGCCCATTGTAAGGGGCCACTCATCATTCAACACCCATCGGCCTCCCTTGTTTATGCCAACATCTGGCTCTGTAGCTATTGAGCTAATCACTCCTGCTTTAAGTCATAGTGACAATATATTTGTTTATTTTAGAACTTATTTAAATCTGTTTATATTAGTTTACATTTAATCAGTGTGCAATATTTACAAATTACTTTCTTATAAGCTGTAGGCCTCACAAGTGACATGTGTGAGGTAGTTATGCCCATTTCTTAACTGAAGGCATTAAATATTGAATAGATAGATTGCCTAACGGTGTTCAGAGATCCCCAAATTACCAGGCTCAAGGCTCCCTGTAGGACATCTCTACCTGACGACCATGGAGATAGATCAAAAACCCTCAGAGTAAGAAATAAGTACACACTTGTCTGTTAGCTCCAATGCTATCATACTGCTGTTGAAGTGAACTTGCATCGTAACACAAAAACAGTAATTTCAGCTACATTGCAATACCAGAATTAGCCTTTAGTTTTAATTCAGAAGAAAATGAATTTTCTAAC